CAACCTCCTAACAACCCCCTTTCCCCCGGCCCTCCCTCTCCCTCTCCCTCTCCCTCTCCCCATCGCTCTCCCTCAACAGCGTCTCGAAAACAGGCGAGAAGAGGGTCAGCAGCTGGCGGTGAACCGTGAAGACGAGCTGCTTACCGCCGGCGGGTAGCACGATATTGATATTATCGTATGGCGTGGCATGGGGTGCGAGCGCAAGGGTTCTCAGGGACTCGGCGCGTTGGTCTAATGGCCGTAGTGGAGGCGGTGGTTGTTGAGGTGGAGGTGGCGGCGCTGTTTTGGAGCGCTGTTCCGGGTTTAGCGACAGGGGAAAGGGGGTGAGATGTGGCGGGTGCAAATGCAAATGCGTGCTTTGCAGCACTGGATGGGGAGCTGGGATAGGTTGGGTGTGTATCAGCTGCGGATGAAGCTGAACTGCATGTTGAGATTGAGGTTCCGGTTCACGGCTTGGAGTAGTAGGTGTTAGGTCGAGTTGTCGCCAAGATGGGATATCCATAGCTTTTTTCCTCTGATGGCCGTGAGGAGTGGGGGCAGGAGTGACTCTAGGGTAAAGGTTCTCGATTCCGACATCTCTGAGCGTCTGTTGAGGTTGGGCGTCGGGTTTCGGCATTTTGGGGGATATATGGTGTTGAGAATACAAGTCTAAGCTGGAAGGTAGCGAGGTAAATCGATGCAGATTAAAATCCAAAGTGAGGGTGATGGTGGTGGTGGTGGAGGTGGAGGGAGTATTTAGGAGAGAGTTGCGAAAGGGGTTTTCGAAATCGGTTGTCGACTTGACTCTCACGAGAAACAACAGAAGTTGTGGAATGGTTTTCTCAAGGGGAAGAAACGTAGCTTAGAAAATCAAAGTTATTATCAGGGGCATTGGGTATTTATAGCTTGACGCGAAGATCTCGCAACCTCATTCAATTGTCCTGCGTTTGCACATTCCCGCATTCACCCAGAAACAATTCACTTAAACCATCCTCATCAGACTCATAACAATCACAGAAGTCTAGTTCTCTTTGATGCACAAGAAACACTCATGCAAATCAATCAGTCAATCAATCAACCGAAGTGGCCCAAGCAATTCCTTTCAATTTGCGCATAGCAAGATATACTCCGTATCATGAGAGGTCAGTCTCTTTACATAGACTAGGGAACAAACATCAACCCTGCATTAAGCACATAGCAAACCCCTGAACAGACATCCATCTTGACAGTCTAGCACTCATCTCAAAGGAGAATGGTAATAACGAAAGTAATTATGATCAACATTGCAAGTGTCTGTTGGAAAACACCCAAAGCAGCCGTTGTACCCTTGCTCTTATGATAAACGGTTTGGTTGTCAGTCATATTCTTTTGATCGCTGAAGAAAAAGGTGGCAGGTGTCTCAATTGTGCCGGAAGAAGCTGGAGCAGCTGGATATGGGGGAAGTTCCATATCAGGTATAGCACAAATAGCATCAGGGGAAATAGATCCTTTGCATCGTGTGGCCCAAGCTGACTGACGCTCGCTCAAAGACGAGTTGAAGTAAGCTTTGACGTACGCAACAGATATAACCGAATCTTCAGGAGGCGGACCGAAAGACCATTTGTTATTTCCATTGCTCCAATTTGTCAAGATGAGATGTCCTGGCTGTGTGGGAACTGCTAAGGTATTCATCGTAGCCAGCTCCTGGCCATCAGCCAAGAAGATGGCCTTCCCAGGCACAAAGTCGAACCGGTATTCATGATATCCTGAAGTGGGGTTGAATGGCAGATTGACAAGTTTGAAGTTTGGGGACCCAGTTGCGTCGAAGCCTGCTTGAACGGATTGCTCAGACTGTAGTACAAGGTTGACTGGATAGGTGTTATTCTCGATAACAAATTGGGATGATAGAAACTCCATGTCGATTTCCTGGCTGTCATTGAAGTACTATGGGTGATTAGTGCAAGCAATGTATGTTGAGTCTATACTTTGGAAGGGGTAAAGCTTACCCAGAAGAAAGCAGCGCATGTTCCAGGGGTCAGGCTCAATTTCATTGAAGCTCGATATGTACCCCATAACAAATCAGTCCGAGACGAGTCCAGCTCTGAAACCTTGACATAGCCATCCGTAGGAACGCCAGCATCAACAGTGAACTGTAAACCCGCATCGCCACCAAGGATGCCAGGGCCGGTCCAGTTGTTAAGATCAGGTATTGAATTCGAGAAGACGTTGTTGACAGTGAAGTTCATCCCTAGGATTTCCAAGAGTCAGCCATGCATCAAGCGTCGGTAGTGAGAAGAAAGAATGGTGGAAGGTATGACACGTACCATATGGACCACGTCCCGCTTCAGGAGTGACGGTAAAATTCTGCCGCCTCCAATCGGTGTCAAGAGAAATATTCGCAATGTGAAGGAAGTCGCTCTCAATGATGTCGGTGAAGAGAAAACTCGATGTCTGTAAACTGGAGGAACCAATAGCAGCAGTGTAGCCGCATTCACAGTTCCCTGCAGATGGCGCGACCAACCAGCTGATTATGAAGAGAAGGATATTGATTATTGGAGGCATCTTATTAAGAGATTCGTTGATGCTTCTCACTGCCGATGAGCGGGTCTAGGATAGTTATATGTCTGAATGGATCCGGATTGTTGCTGGCTGACTCCCTGTGATTGTTGATCTGGCAAAACTCGAGAGTCAGCGACTAAGCAGGTGAATGTTGCCAAGTTATACAAGAGCGCGTACCTTGAATTTATAAACACCTAATACCGGCCCAATTAAGTCCTCACTTCGTCAATCGATGTATCCTACGCTCATCTCCTGGCGTTGGTGGTGAGACGTAGTACGCCAGCCAGTTGAAAAATGTACGTGTGGAGTTTGCGCACAAGAACGAATGATTCGTGGTGGTGGAATGTAACTGATTTGGCGCGTTTATGATGACTCGTATAGAATTTGAGGAAGGAAGGAAGAAATGCTGTGCTGGGACCCAAGGAAATGTGAATGAAGTCGCGAGTTCAGGAAGGAGCGCTGGGGAGAAAACACCCAAATCTAGGCAAGTTGAGAAAGGACAGAGATAACATTGCTTTGTCCGTACAACAGGAATTAATACGAGATTTGATTTCAAATAAAGAAGTTAAACAAAATTGCTGCTATGAATAGAGAATAATAACGCTTCTGAAACTTCCCTCGATCAACTTTATGAGTGAAGCTGACCCCGGCTCTAGACTGAAGATAGTATGTGTCCATCCAGAACTGAGTAACCATATATCTAGATGTCATAGCATCAGGTACTTTCTAGGCCAACCTCCCAAATGAACAATCATGGAAAGCAGTACCGTTGTCAGAAAACAGCGCGTCTCAGCTTCGAGGCCTCCATCATCCATTCCATTCACCTTCCGAAGCTTTAAGATATGTTCATCTAGCCAAGTCAAAACAACAGCTTCTCCAACGAAAACAAACAATTTTCTAGCAAATATCCTGACTGTCCTTTTTAAACCCACTCCACTCAGGTTTCCCTTGAAATAAACCTCTAAATAAAGACATGCACGTCTTCATATTCAAATATATCAACAAAGTACGAGCAGTAATTCGACGGTACAGAAAGCACCTCCACTTCAAGAAACAAACAGCACACACCTCAAAATCCAAGCAATCCCTCCGTCCTCCCCCCCCACCACAACGAAATACTCAAGCGCCCTCATCATCATCATCATCAAGTTCAAAACAAAACAACACAGCCGAGTCTCCACACCCCACACCCCACACCCACATACTCTCTCACTCACACACATACACTCACTCACCCTCTCAAACCCCCAACCATACTCCCTCCCGTACATACCAATCTCCCACAAGAATATAAATAGCAAACTCTCCATCCATCCATCCACTCACTCACCTACCTACCTTTTCCAAAAACCCAATCCACTCTCACTCTCAACCCCCCTCTCTCCCTCCCCAATCCCATCCCGACCCCCAAGACACACGGCAAACAATCAAAAGAAGCTACAAGTATTTTCAGCTACACATGTACTGTAGTGGGGTCTCGCCAGATTAGGATTGCTTACTTGGTCCATCTAACGGTCTTGGGATGTGGCGTTCCGGGGGTAGAAGAGGGAATTCCGCGTGGGTTTTGATCGGGATTTAAGAGCGGGATGGAAGTGGACGGGCGGGTGAGTGGTTTCGTGGCTTTGTGGCTTGCAATGAATCAAAATCACACAGGCACATTGTTATTATCATTCGTTATCAAGACCCAGAGTGGAGATGCAAACAATTTTGATGTGATGCTATCTATACAGACAGACAGGCAATTTACCCTCCCACTGCAAGCTCTGCCAGCCAAATATCTCCTTTTCTCTCCTAACCAGCCACAAATTCAATTCAATTCAATCCATCTCTCCATCTTCCTCCACCAAATGCATATACATAGATACAAGAAAGAATCAGAATATGATTTCCGCGCAAAGGAACGCGAGCAGTAAGAACGAAGCAATAAAATCAGGTTGTATATCGAACAAGGTATCTGAGCATCATTTGATGAGAGGAGTACAAGAGGTATTAAGTAAGGTAATATGATGCGAGCGTAGCCGAACAGCCAAAAAAAAAGTGACAGCTACTAAAAGGACAGGGCAGAAACAACACAACGGTGGGCCAGCCATGAGCTTTTGTGTGTACGCGCGAGAGATTAGAGCGCTTTAAAACGCATAGTGTGATTGTAGATGAGAGGAAAAGAGATAGAGAGCCCAGTATTTGCCCAGCCAAGCCAAGCCAACCAGACCCCACCAGACCAGCCCGTATTGTTGCCCACGACCTTTTGAAGGAATAGATGCCCCGAGTTCCTGTAAACGCTATATGCAAGATGACGACAAAGGAAACACGACGTATTGGCAAGGAGACTAAGGAAATAGAGTGGGATATCAAAGTCTAAAAATTAGGAGATGGACAAAAGAAATCATGAAATCGTTAAAAGCAAATATTTTCAGTCTTAGTACACGCTATCGTCGTTGTCGTCCGCACCCTGAGAGATCATTGAGGGTGTAGAGACATCGGAAGCTTCGATATCGTCTTCGTAGCCAACAAGAGCTTGAGAGTGGAGTCGGAAGGAATCACCCATGAGTTTGGTAATACTACGAACAGTTAGTACGAATGATCAGACAAATTTGTAGGATAACTTACCCCCAGACGACGACTTCATCAAGCATACTACCCCAGATACGAGCCACGATGGAGCTGAGCTTTGAGTCCTCGGGTTCGTCTACAAAGAGTGCTCCAACCTTGTGATACATAGCCATTTCTTCTTCAGTGGGAGGCTCGTCTACGTCGTGTTCCAGACGATAGAGCCACAGGCTGAGAATGATCATGAGATCCAAGCCACAGAGCGGATGCTCAACACTCCAGTTGGTAGCAGAGGTTCGGGCGACCCAACGAATACCTTGTACAGCAGCGGTCTCAATGCAGTTGTAACATTCTTGAATGACCTTGATCATCTCACTGGATCGCTTTACTTTATCTCTTGCGTTTGACATTGCTGCAGCTACCTCATAGGAGTCGTGGTATCTTAATGCCTCTTGGATAGACTTGAGATCAACTTCAAGACGAGCACGAGCGTTACGGAACATAGCCATGGCGTTGAATAACAGAGGATGACCCTTGTGAGGCGCACTGAGAGGTACAGATACCGTCTCTGGATCACAAAGATCAAGTGATTTCTCCCAAGTTTCCAGTGCGAGGCGCAACTTGTATTCCGTAACAACATCCTGGAGAGCTTCTGGGCTGCGCTTGTGGTACCAAACTTCAAGGAAGAGAGCGTTGATCATAACACGAGTAGCAAAGGCACTGTAGCGTAACGATTCACCCTGGAACAGGTTGTCGTGGGCTTCCATGAAAGAGGCAGCTTGTGACGTCTTGAGCTGCTCAGGCCAGGTGGATTCGTCGACCACGGTGAGGTTCCACATCACTTCAGTTGAAGGGAGTTCAAGGTCTTCGAACTCGTTGAAGCTGATGGCAGGTGTGTGATTGTATGTCATCGTCAAGAGACCAAAGAAGATGTACACGGCATAGTAAGTACGTCGGCAACCTTCGTCCTCTACCCACTCAGCACGGCTAGGCAGAGCACCATCACGAGCTTCAGAGCGAAGCTTGAGCTCGTAACGGTTACCAGCAACCATGTTTGCGAGAAGACTCTTGATGGAGCAAGCCCATTCCAAGCCCTTTGGATCACCGCTCCAGCTAGCGAAGACCATGTTGAGAAGCGAGCTTTGCATCGTCCACAGTGGGCACTTGCGGGAGCTGAAGTTCTCCTTGTTCTGCAAGAATTGGTTGACAAGGACCTTGGAACCAATGTGGAGGACATAAGCTTGATCTTGATCAAATGCGTACAGAGCACCAATTGACAGGACTGCCAGCAAGAGTGGGGAAGATATCTGAGTTGGCTTGAACGAAGATGGGTGCAAGAACGGCAGGTGGTGATGGAACAGGGAGAAGTATGTTGAAAGATACCTGTTCAGCGACGTCAAGTTCGGCAGACGGAAGCTCTCGGGGATTGCACGCTCGCTATCGTTGTTGCGGATGTTGTCTAGAACGATATTTCGCTCATCATCAGTCAGAATTTGAGGAGCCCTTGTTGACAGGTCTCCGCTGCGGGGTTGAGTCGGTGACTGTTGGTTTGGGGTGGCAGTTCCCGAAGGTGGCAACGAGGCTATCATCGATTGCAACGCAGGCACAAGCCCGTTGTAAGTTGAAGCCGATTTGTGGATGGGCGGCAGCTGATTTGAATGGGGCTGCATTGTGCTTCGACTTGTGAACGAGCTTTGTGACTCCTGAGAACCGGAAGCAGTTGAGCTAATCGAGTGAGACTTGGGCTCCGTTACGGCCTGCGGCATGAAGGAATCCCACTGCACCTGAGGAAGCGAGATAGCTCCAGAAGGATAGGTGACGGATGGCTCCATAAGCGGTGTCCCGTTCTGAGAGAAAGCCATTCCAGGTCTGTTCTCATAGGGTCCAACGCCTGCGTTCCGCATTGCCGCAGTTGCTTTGTGGTGGAGGTCGGTCATCAACATTGCCGCAGTCTCGAGATCAACCATGCCATCGCTACTCGCCTCGATCTGCTCGAGTGCAGAGGTATCAATGGGTATGGCCGACTTGGAAGGCCCAGACATCGCACTGGTCTTGGGACCTGCTCGTCGCTTCACATCGCTGTGGAGAGGGATTCCTCCATCTTTCGCGTGGACAGTTCGGTCATGGCGAAGCAATAAATCGCGTCGCACGAAGGTACTTCTACACTTCATGCACTTGAAAGGGCGCTCCTTGGTATCTGCGGTGGCATGTTAGCATTGAAATGATTTGTTTGCGCCGATATGATTATTGTTGGTGGTGCGAAACAAACTTTTACCCCGGCGCAACCCGAGGAAAGAGGGGAAGTGTCATTGACAAACACGTAATGTATCTGTCAATCACCACCACCAAAAAGTATAAATAAAATGCACTTACGTGATCTCTCATGTCTGCTACGATGCTCAGATCTGCTAAATGCACGATTGCAGAACTAAAAAGTTAGTATATGTGGATGAGTAAGGGGAAGAATAGCTCTTTCCACCAGGAGATGAGGTACGTACCTGACATTTGTACTTCTTCTCAGGCGCGACCGACGATTTCCTTGCGGTGGACGACGCTGCCGCGGCGGGCAGGACACTCATGCTTGCGACAGGCATTCTGACGGGATTCTTTCTGACTGCAAGTGCTTCTTGCTTGTCCTTCCTTCACAGACCGATGGTTGAATATCGTCTGGTTCGCGAGCGTGGGCGTAGGATTTAAAGTGTGACTTGGGTCTGCTGGGATATAGTGTTCATTTGTTTTTGTCTTGTTGTCATCGATGTGTGTTGTGGTATAATGGTGGCAGTAGGCCTGTATCGCGACGGGGACAGATTCTCGCCTGGAGCAAGAATGAGGCCGCAAGTCGCGTTCGACAAGTGAGGAAGGTTGGGGTATTAGGTGGCGGAATGTGCGTCGCCAAAGGGTGGTGCAGGTGGAAGTCGACGATGGGATGATTAGAGTCGTAGATGACTGTTGATGGATGGGATGAGATGAGAATGGAGGGGAAGGTTGAAAAAGAGCGCCAGGAGAGGGGAAAAGGAAAGAATAAGGAGGGACACGAGAGAGAGGGAGGAAGAGCGGCAGGTGGGTGAAGTTGGGTGAAGTGGTGGTGGTGGTGGGGACAGTACGGATAGGTGGGTTACTGTAGGTAAGGGTAGGGGGGGGAGGGGGAGACTAGGAGGGAGGTGAGTGGTAGCGAGTCGAATGGTGTGGATGAGCAGAGATTGGGGGGGGGTAGAGGAGTGGCAGAGTGAGTGGCAGAGTGTGGCAGAGAGCAGTGGCACACGGGATTCTGGAAGAAAAAGGGAGATGGCTGAGGAGGGACAGACAGCGGGGCAAGGAATCAGGGATCGACCGGGTCGGTACAGCACGGTAAAGCAGCATCCACGTGTATTTTGGCCTGTGTTATGCTCAAAGTGGACCAAGTCAACTCATCAATCAATGGCTCGGGGCCTCTAATGCCCCAATAATAATCCACAGAGACCCATTTATATCCAGGGGTAGGTACGTACCTAGGTACCAAGTACTGCTTACTGTAGAAGCTCGAGCTCTCAACTCAGGGCTGGCCAACACTGCTGAACTCACGGAGCCCTGAACCTGAGTTATTACTACTCCACTGTCCCGGCAATGCCGTCCCTCATTCCGCTACAGTACTGTATCCTACTGCTGCCATCCTCACCATGCTGAAGCTTGTGTTTCTTGCGACTGGCGACTTGGGAGCATCTCTCACCGTCTCTGGGACATTTAGACCAGATTCAGCGTTGAACGAATATTATTGCTGCTACTTCCACCGCTATTTGAGGATATATTTGTTTTCTTACCTGCAGAATGTATAGGTGGGCCTTGGCTCTACTAGACTCACTCGCTCTCCATAGAACAGGCATTTTATTTTGACCAAGTCCTCAAGTGAGGCTGTGGATGACAACTCAGCAGTGCCGTTGGCTGCGAGACTAGAATGCCCCCCACGCCAACTAACGTCGTTCAAACGGCAAGCAGATTGGGGGGCAAAGAGGGGTTGCGTTGTACCTGGATGCCTGGATGCCTATGGCCCCTATACTCTATACTCTATACTCTATATTCTATACTAAGGTATACCAGTACCAGTACATACCGGTATGGATGAACGCAATGAATAGCATTCTGCAAGGAACCAAACACCACATCTTCTGGACCTCTGTTACAAGCTACGCAGAAGCAAGCCTCCTACGTATCTTGGTCAATTTACGTGTGCCTTGGAATTCCGCTTCTAAATTACTTATCTGGATAGAACATTGTACTGTACTGTACCTTACCGGATCCGCCGCCTTAAAAAGGAATATGCAGACACGCTCCGAGCTGTTAACCATGCATTAGAACTTCAAATCCGCCTTTTTAGGAAGTACTTTTTGCTTTTCACGATCGCGGTGTAGACTCTTCCAACGTGTTTTTGAGCTACTCCGGGTCGTCGTGTCCAAGCCCACCGAGGCTCGTCACAAGCCCGCAGAAGAGCGGTCATTGATTGACCCCTCAACTTCGCGACAAAGCCTAACAGCTTATACCGACTCGAGAGAAAAGATGAGATGTTGCTTACTCCGTACGCATCTGCATCTCACCGCTCGGAACACTGCATTTATATGCATTATTGGGATGGGTGATTATTGTTAATGCACCGACCGCACTGCAGTTCGACGACGCGCTCGCTGCTTTTGCACCGAGGACTTCATCGCAACACAAGAGCATTTTTCATATTGGTCGCGAATCCATTGGCCACACCATAACCCCTCTGAGACGCGTGACACGCACCTTGGATCTTGCATCACCAAAACATCACCCCTCTTCACGTCGCGGAAAGCATACAGTACAGCATACATCCCAAATAGGATCATATCTCTCGCTGCTTTGTGCCCATCCTATCCTATCCTCAATACCCTACCCCTTTCCTCTCTCCTCCCTCTTCGCTCCTTCTGATTCCCCAAAACTTAAAAACCTCCGTACTGTACAATTAGCCCTATCAAAACCAAGTGGTCCGCCTCATTAAAAAACCGTCCCAAGATCCTCGTCTTGCGCGCTAGTACTGTATGCCAGGTACAAAAGACCCACCGTCACACATGGAAAGGGCGCCCTAGCTGATCGACTAGGAAGCGTTCCCCGGAACCCATTTATTCTCACCCCTGCTGGCTTCAACCTTGCAAGTCGGCTCTGTTTTCCACAGAAAGTTGAAGTTCTTATGGGGGGTTTTATATAAGGTAAGCAAGCATTGCTCCGTATTCTTCCACACCTTCAGGGACCAGGGAAGCAGTGAAAGAGTTTTCTAACCACCGTCAATGCGCGCCGCAGAAGAAGGAATCATAGCGGGGCATATATTTATTACGAAGACGAAGTAGAAATGAGGGAGGGACGAAACTTCAAACGCATTGATTGATATTTAAATGTCTCTCTCCTGTCGATGAATCAGTTCTCAGAAGAAAAAGCTTCCCGTCAACTTGTAAAAAGAAATAAACACGGAAAGACTGACTGTTTGCGAATGTCCATCCATCCCACCCTTTCTTTCCCAGACAACTCTTTTCTATGATATGATACAATATTCCACTATACCAACGCGACTCGCACGCATACTTCATAACTTTTATCAACACCGTCAACAACCCCACGTATTAGATTTATAAACTATTTTATTCCTTCACTCACCGTTTCATTATCATTCTGCCCCTCATCGAAGCCCTCGGCATGCTTCCAGAATCCAGATGCGCATCAACCGACCGGTCAATCAACCTCTATTCGGCATAAACCCCTCCACGGAGAGCACGAGGTTCGACGCCGCAAGCTATCCCATCCCACAATAATTTACCTAACCTAACCCAACCCAACCCAACCCGCCCCAGCCAGGGGTGCCAAAAACTCAAGGGGGGAATACTGACGGAGTGTTTCAATCAACGAACGGGAGGGAACGGGATCCAAGGTTCCTTTTTCTACTATAGTCTAGTACAGTAAATTAGTCAATTATTAAATTTATTAATATTATATCCAGAGACTAGAGTGAGGTATCCGGGAGCGAGCGAAATACCCATCCACCTCCCCGGAACACACGCAATCCAATCAAGCCCTTCCGCTGTGACCCAAGAACGGCCAGCTGGGTTCTGCTTTAGTTGACGTTGACCCACCGGCTTGTCATCCGCGAGCCTACTTGTCTTTCTACGCATCCACTAAGTAATCAGAAGTGACTTATTTTACATAAATAAGTTCCGATCTTGATCTGCAGTTTTGGAAAAGTGAGGTCTGGATGGATTTGACTGGCTTGGGCTTGGGCTTGGGCTTGCCGGCAGTTAATTAGTGGGAGTGTAGGGGGGGAAGGGAGGAGCGGCCCTTTCCTTAGTCTTGGGTCTTGGACTTTGTCTTGGCTTCATTCGCTACCAGGGAAATGGAATGGTTTGGTTTGGGAATTGGAATTGAGTCAATGGGTCAAGTTAAATTGGATTAGATTGCGTGGTGATGAGGATCCTGGATTTTTGGGGGGGGGGGGGGGGGGGCTTCGGTGTGCCGGATCGGAGTTCTAGATTATTACTATGTTTGGCGTCGGCGCCCCCTCGTCATTTCGTTCATTACTCGGGTTTAGGGGTGGGAGATGGGAGGTGGGAGGTTATTTTGGGATTTGGAGGGATGGAGGAGAGGATGGAGTACAGAAAGGAGAAGAGAAAAGAGTAAGGAGAGCGAGAAAAGGTTTGGAGTTGAGGTTGCTCGTTCATTATTAAGAGGATATAATTATAAATCGTAGTTGTAAGTAAGCCTCGTTTTGAAAAGGAGTGGATGTAGATGATGGATGGGAAGGGATGGCCATTAAATCAATCATAGATTTGAAACTTTGAAACTCTGAAACTCCATGCGAGCTTCAAACCGAACTTCCAAACCGTATTCTAGAAGTATTTAAATTTATTTATCCAACCCCAACCGAGGGCTTGGAACCGAATCAAACCCTAAAACCGGACCGGGTAGCAAGCTCTTTCGCTAGACATCCCACGTTTTGATGCCTGCTCGGCTTGCTGGCTTGGCTAACTTCCCTTTTGAACGATCCTTATCACGAATAGGCCAAAGAGGCAGGTTGATACTCCTTGAGAATCCTTCAAAGTATAATCGACCATCTGCTAATCACCCTCTCGGGTTCTGAACCCCAGCAGCTAGCTTTTCCAAGACCCCCCGTCCTGGATGTGCGATACGGTGGGGAGGACGGCGGGGGTTATAATATTGAAGTTACACATACCGCCTTCTTATCAACAACGTAAATGTAGCGAGCGGTATGCTGCTTATCGATACCGTACCGTACCGTACCTAGGTAGCTTCCTGAGTAGCTTTACTTCGTAAAGTACCTAGGTACCTTTGCAGTGCTGCAATGCATCCCGCGCAGTTGCGCTGGCTGCTCTGCTTTTGGACGGAAATAGGTCAACACTACTGTCACTCCAGACACGAGGCGAAGCGAGCGTGCATTCCGAGGCGTCTGCCGTTATCCGCTGCGTGGGATGGGGATGGGATACTTACCGTAAGTTGTAACCGTACATGCCATGCCTTAGGAAAAAACGTTTCTGACTTTGAGATGAGATGAGAAGGTGGGGGGAATAAGCCTGCAGGGTGGGGTAGAGGGGTGGTTTAGAATTTCTTGAGCCAGCAACGGTGAGGTCGGTCTTCATCTTTTGGTGGTTTGCAAAGCGAAGCAATTAATTTGCATCTGGTGGGGCCGAAATAGAACGAGACCGATTCGGCCCGCGATGTGCAGACATGAGGCACAACATGTACATTTCCTCCCGAAACGGGTCAGCCCGCCGTCTTATTCAGGGGGTAGGTGCAGTTGCCGCTGACATGTGTATGACCAGCTCCTCGTAAGTCTTTACGTCGATAGGCTGGAGCTCTGCAAGAAAGTCCAGAAACAGATCCGTGGTGCTGCATTTAAGAGCCGGAAGAAGATATAAAAAGGAAGGTGTTCTCACGTGATCGATTGCATCCCCTGAGAATCCTGCACGTTCATCTCGGTGCCAGATTTAGCTGCTTGGTTCAACGCTTTCGATCATTGTCAGGATTATTCATGCAGTGTGTTGGTACTTGGTACGCTTTCCAGATTCTAGAATGCGGAGAGAGGGTGCCCGTTGTACTTTGACACCGAGAGGCTTTCCCCGTTCAGGGCTGTACATGAGTCTCCCACGACACACGCACGAGCTGGCCTCTCCCAGCGCGGATTTCAGATCTGCAATCAGGCAGAGTAGGGTTACAGATGCTTGAAAGCCATGCCATGCCTTGAAGGATCAGGATGATGATGATGATGATGATGATGATGATAATTATGGTGGTGCTTATCACAGATCTGATATCGTAATGTGGAAGGCGTAGAATGTTCTTCCAAGCCGTGGTCGCATCTCAGCGGCCGTTCTCATACCACTGTGAGAATATCCAGTAGCAACAATTCCCCGACTGCATGGCATGCAATGGCAGCTGCACTCGCCATGCAGGCGGCACACTTGTGGCGGGATTGAAACGTCGTCACATCTCGTCTGGCTGGTCGTCCTCAAGCAGAGTTGATGGATAGGAGTCTCTACACACATCCAGTTCAGCACCACACCACACGAAAGGAAGGGTCAAGGAAAGAAAGTAAAGCTGCTCAAGGTTACACTGTGACAATTTAGATACTGTCTGAAGTTAATAGAGTAATCATTTAGATTCCCGAGACTTTTGATATCTTCCCCTGGGGTTCAGGCAGATCCGGCAAGTCGGGAGGCTGAAAAGAGCTGCTCGAAAGAGATTCCCATGAGACACAATGACTGATGGGTCAAGTCTGATATTGCATGTATTAGGAGGGATCGACAAGTAGCCAGAACACGAGCAATTGCAAGTCTTCGGCCTTGGGTCAGCTGAAATTCAAAAACCTGGGAAGCTGGGGGCCTGGAGGGAATTCAGCTGCATTTGTAGTTGCACAGAACCGTATTTGAAGTTCAGATATACAATTCTTTGCTTTATAAAGCACAACACGAGTATTCTTAGAGCATCGACAAACCAATTATCTGCAAGGACTCGGACTCAGAAGAGAGCTGGCGGAGGAGATGAATTTATCGGATTCATGTCAACAGTAAATTGGCCGTACAATAAGTACACCAACCCATATAAGTCTAGTGGGCAGTGGAGTGGGTTCATTCCAGTGATTCCACACTTTTCCTCGCGGCGGTCTTCCCGTTCTTAGATACGCCCAAGCTGCAATCTGCTCTGTGCGGTTCACGGCTCAAGTGCACGGCGACGTTGTTGATTGATTGATTGTTTCCGTCTCTCCTCCTCCTCCCTCCCCGCCAGGTTTCTACCTCTTGCTATCGCTTCTACAAACCACTTCACATATCGATTTGTCACGCGGAACTCGAAGGAAGTAAGCCGCCAGCCATCCATTTGCGCGGTAGGAAAGCGATCTTGCGCGCAAAGCAGAAGCCGGATAGATACCTACTCGCACCTAGCACCTAGATACGAGTAGTCGGCCCTCAAAACGCCAAAAACAACTCCCCTCACCCTTAGAATCCGTCCGTCCACAACAAGCTCATCTCGCATCAGGCCCTCCTGTTCATTTGTTTTCCCGCCTTCGCACTCCCCTGCTCTCTCTGAAGGGTACCGGTGGCACAGATCAGAATCATAAGATAGATTCCCAAACAAGGTGCTAATTATTATTCTGCTTCTTCTTGCAGTATATTGTCTGTTGCAGCTCCAAGGTCGCAGGTCCACGGTCCAGGTTACTTGCAGACTGCATGCTTGCTTGCCTTGCCTTCCTTGCCTTGCCGTTGCTTTCCTCTACCTCCCAAGACGCACTGAACTTTCTCGACGAATCGAAATAACGAGTGAGCTTTAATTTACCCGCCGAACCCCAGTAACCACTACTCGATCCCCAGGAAATCCCCAATCTACAGTAGCAGAGGCTGTTTCTTTTACCTCTACCCCTCTAGCGATACACGCACACGCTCCATCACAGCACCACGCGGCGATACGATACCATACATTTGACGATCCCACATTTGATACGATACGATACACTTCAAGTCACCACCCGGGACCGGCGACATAAAAACAAAAGAACACCCCTGCTTCTACTGCTGTTGCGACTTTAATCATGGATTGATTGATTGATGCAGCTTGCAGTTGTCAACGATCCTCACGATGCTTATGACAATTCGCCCCAGTAACAGCATATTCCCTGAGCAGCAGCAGAATACCCAATCATTCAACAACTATACCTCCGAAAGCAGACAAACCGCCGACCCTGTCATACTGTACACCGAGCAACATCTGCTACACACCATTTCGCCGCCTCGATCACAAGCACACTTCAATCCATCTCCCAACGAGAGCTTTTCAGCCGCGCAAAGGTCTTCAACTGCCGTCAGGCGCAGATCTCCACCGGTGATGAACGGTTTGCTAGGGAACACGCCGCAGCCGTCCAAGTACGTGCGGGCGCTTTACGACTACGAGGCTGATGATAGGACGAGCTTGAGTTTTCACGAAGGAGATGTCATAGAAGTCATCACTCAGCTGGAAAGTGGTTGGTGGGATGGCGTTATCAATGGGGTGCGAGGCTGGTTCCCAAGTAACTATTGTCAAGTAATTGCAAACCCAGACGACAGCGTGGAAGACCCGCAGAATGGATCGTCAAGAGAACACACGGATGACGAGGAAGATGAGGAAGACGAGGGCGAGGAATATGATGATCAATATGAAGAAGAGGACGCAGAGTCTGAACTGGACGATATGGTGCAACTACCAAATGAAGGAACGATCAATAACAAACGAACGAGAGCAGATTTTTGGATCCCGCAAGCAACACCAGATGGAAGGCTATTCTATTTCAACACAGAAACGGGCGAGAGTAGCATGGAGCTACCCCTCGAGTCGCCTTCGTCTGCCTCGGAGAATGGACCACGAAATCGAATGAATGTCAATATCCCAGAGAAGACGAGACCGCCGCCAGAGATGATGGCACGAGGTTACATGCAGGATGAGGATGACGAGTCTGATGGAAACTCCGCTTCAGAGTTGGAGGGAGAATCTCTCATGCTTGCGTCCAGAGGCTCTTTGGTAACAATGAATTCCTTTATCGCATTCACCTTGATACTGACTTGAATTCTAGCCTCGAAAGCGCCGCTCTTTTGGCTCTGAGGGTATTTCTCCGGCTACTTCCATGGACTCGATCAATGAATTCTCCCCGCAACGACGGTCTCGGGCTGACCCGAATTTGTCCATGGTAACATCATTGCCAATTATAGGTCCTTCGACAACATCCTTCACGAACCCTTCACTCGGGCCTCCTCACGCTGCAACATTACCCCGGTCGTTCTTTGATGATGGCTCCGCTGCACCTTTGACTTGGAATAGACTCGTGGCGAATATGAAACGGGCAGTTGATCGGTACAGGGAGGCTATTAACAATAGTGAACGATCAGAATATGTGCGCCGGGCGGAGGACATTTCAGATCATCTGCGCCTGCTACTCGCTGCTGGATCAGGGACAACAGACAACCACTCCGGTCAGCCGTCCATCATATCCACAAACAAGGCATTATATCCCCATTTCAGGGATATGATGTCCAAGTTTTCTAAATTGGTCATCTCCTCGCATATTGCCGCGGCAGACTGGCCAAATGCGGAATCTTATCAAAAGTGTCTCCAGGAAGCGGATGGTGTTCTACAGGGAGTGTTTAGTTATGTCGAAGTTGCAAGACAACAACGAGGAGAAGACATTCCACGACTTTTACCTGGATTCGTCATTGGAAGCACCACAGGTGGTAGCTGGCAAAACAATGGCCTTGGGTCTCGGGATCCATTAACCTCGAACTTCTTGGATGAAGATGAGGCAGTCGTTGAGCCTTCTGCTGTGCTTGATGCCAACTTGATGGAGCGACTCGACGACCTGAAGCGAATGCTTATTTCGAGTATAAGGAAACTGGAGGAGCATCTTGTCGTCACTGAAAAGATCGTCTCTCCGTACAGACATGAGATCATTGGAAATAATGTCTGTTCGGCCGCTCGAAAAGTCTTGGAAATGTCTAAGCCTTGGATTTCAGCCGTCGAATCAATCAATCTATCATTTCTTGGAAACAGCTTCCAGAACCCGCAATTGGTCGACTTCGCGGCATATAAACAAAACTTGTATGATAATATATCGGACTTGGTGCTGGGGTGCCAAGCCGTTGCAGGGCCTTTGGGAGATGAGTGGGCCGAAGTCCGTGGGGAATCACTGGAGGGCCGACTGAATTATGTTCGGCATTGCGCAAAACAACTCGAGACCAACTCATCACATGTTGGGTTTTCACTTCAACTCCTGGGCGAACAAATCCAGATGGGACGACAGAAGGAAGAGAGTCGCACCTTGCCACCTCGTGAGGACAGTCGCCAACGAGATCCGAGAAGAATTGAAAGTATGTCTTATGAGCGCATCCATCAGAGAACTGACTCTCGCTTCAACCCTGTGTTGAGACCAGCGTTAGCTGGCATTGCCCAGTCAGCTTCATACTCGGAAGGAGACCGGGACCCAACTGCAAACTTTCGAAAAGGGGAGCATTCCAAAGTTAGGAAATTCTTTGGAGAAGAACCTATTCGCAGGGATCCACAGTCGGATGAAACACCCGATTGCCTGAAGCTCGAACACGAAGAGGATATTTTATACGATACCAAGACACAACCTCCTCAGCTAAAGGGTGGGACATTGTTAGCGCTTGCTGAGCAACTGACACGGCACGATAAACTGGATTCGAATTTCAACAATACCTTCCTTTTAACATATCGTTCTTTTACATCTGCCCGGGAACTATTTGAGTTTTTAGTAAAACGTTTCCAAATCCAACCGCCTGAAGGAATGGCCAAGTCGGACTATGAGATATGGAGAGACCGCAAGCAGAAGCCAATCAGATTTCGAGTTGTCAATATATTGAAGAGTTGGTTCGATAACTTTTGGATGGAGGACCAAAGCGATGATACGAAGGCCTTGATACGCGATGTCTATACATTTGCTCGAGATACGGTCAAAACAACTGAGACCCCAGGGTCCGGACCATTGATGACGGTATTAGAACAACGATTACGCGGACAAGATCCAACAGCAAAACGCCTGGTCTTGACTCAGAGCCAATCTACTCCTCAGCCGATTATGCCTAAAAACATGAAGAAACTCAAGTTTCTGGATATTGATGTTACCGAATTCGCGCGCCAGTTGACGATCGTTGAATCAAAGTTATATGGCAAGATCAAACCGACAGAATGCCTGAATAAGACCTGGCAGAAGAAGGTTGGCGAGAATGATCCAGAGCCAGCACCAAATGTCAAGGCTCTCATCCTCCATTCGAATCAATTGACGAATTGGGTAGCTGAGATGATCTTGACTCAGATGGATGTCAAGAAGCGTGTGGTCGTGATCAAGCATTTCGTGCAGGTAGCTGATGTGAGTATTTTCCTACATATAAAGTCTAGCCTCTAATCATCAACAGAAATGTCGACAACTTAACAATTTTTCTACCCTCACATCAATCATCTCTGCTCTTGGCACAGCTCCAATACATCGCTTGAAGAGGACATGGGATCAAGTTCCTCAAAAGGCACTCACAATTCTTGAGGTCATGCGCCGCTTGATGGGCAGTACCAAGAACTTTGGTGAATACAGAGAGAGTTTACATCTCGCCAATCCACCATGCATTCCCTTTTTTGGTACGTTTCTTCTCCTGTCTCTCCCAACTAAATCTTATATATATCAGGTGTCTATCTTACGGATCTCACATTCATCGAAGACGGTATTCCTTCTATCATCAAGAAATCGTCCTTGATCAACTTCGCCAAACGTGCCAAGACGGCCGAAGTCATTCGTGATATCCAGCAATACCAGAATGTGCCATATCCCCTGCAGCCAGTACCAGAGCTGCAGGAGTATATATTAAGCAATATGCAAGCTGCAGGTGACGTGCATGAGATGTATGAAAAGAGTTTGGCGGTAGAGCCACGTGAGAGAGAAGACGAAAAGATTGTGAGGTATGTTAGACTGCAGCCAACCTCTCCGTATGGCAACTTCATATTATAAGAAGAGCCGCGGGAAAATTGAAGAACACTTTGCAATGCAAGTCTATTGGTCAGGGAAAGAAATGTGCTTACACAGTTGGTGGGATAATAGGGTCTTGGCCGAATCTGGTTTCCTCTGAACTGGGGTCAGCTCCACCAACATGACAACACCGCACTACACGCATGAAGCCACGATATATAACGCACCAACTAAGGGTCTGATGACGTTACGAAGAATATAAATTACCCGCCACATACCAGAGATTCGGTAGAATACACACCAAGTTTCGAATCCTTACTAGCACTACAACCTTACCACACCATCCCGATGCCCCCCATTAAGGCCCGACACACTTGGAGTCCATTTTGAAATTCAAATATTAACCATATAGAAGGGGGATCTATTCTATATTTTTAGCGCAAGGTTTACATCCGTCTCATTACGAGAATCACCAATTGTATTACGGCGTCTGACCGGGTCATGTCCAACATCTTTTTCATTATTTTTAAATCTGGAAGGAGGTGGTGTCACATTTGGAATTGGAATTGGACTTGTCTGAGAAAGGAATAAATATCAGTACTATAAGCAAGGCGTTTGGTATGATATGAGATGAGATGAGTAAGCCTCCTCAGATACCACCACCGCCCAATAGAGAAAGCACATGCACTCAAATACAATGAATTCATTCCTACCTACCTTGATTCCTTAACCCGCTTCCAAACTACCGCTGTCTCCACCTCTACCTCCACCTCCACCTCCAACAACTCAAGTCAAATCCAATCAGTCCAGGCACCCCGGAGCAAACGGAGCACTGAACCGCCCCTCATCCACACTCTTCAGCCTTATAGTACAATCCATACCTACCCTACCCTACCCACGCAAGGTAGACTCGGGGAGAACAGCTCCTCGTGATCCGGGGTACATTTCGTCTATGCTATGCAATGCAATGCAATGCAATGCAATGTAATGCGTACCTAGCATATGAGCAAGTGATATAACAACAAGTACGAGTGCCACTAACCTATTCCATCCATTCCCTTTTCCATTTCCATTCCGGCTGAATACCGTTGCTGCTGAATGGGGCGGGTCAGGACAGGACAGGGCAGGGTAGGGCAGGGTAGGGTAGGGTAGGGTAGCTTTAATGGTATCAGGCAATGTAATGTAATGTGATGAATAGGTGCTGGTTTGTGTTGTGTTGGAGTGCAGGGACACGCGTCGCGTATACGTACGGAGTGTGTATGTATATACGTAGGTATGTTTATAATTGTGTTACCTTTATGTTAGGAGGGGTGCGGGTGCGGGTGCGGGTGCATACATGTCTTGGAGGTATGTATATTTATTATTCGGAGCATGAAAGCCGTGTCTGCTTTTGAGAT